CAGCCAGCACGTCCTAGCCACTACACCGCAAGTTCAGCAGAGGAATAAGTGAAACCGCTCGTCAGGAATGTTCGGTGCTAGTCCCACCGCGGGCTCTGTCCGTTTGTCCGGTAAGGTCTGGAATACTCATGAACTTACAGCTTAATATTATTGCAATCACTGAGTACATATAAGACTTCATCAAAATTAGCAACAACAAAAACATTCCCGATGTTACTTGTTATGGATCCTTCATCACACAAAATTTCGGTTGCGTCCGCCGGTTCCGGTATGCAGTTACGAGAGCATGGCGATACAATGTTTGACCCGACAACGCATCGTCTCGTCACTGCACCGACGCCACGGTCTGCACGAGCAAATGCAGCCATATCTACATCTACTCTACACGACCAAGATCTGGTAGATGTCATGGCCGAGCTTGAACGCCATCAATCTGATCACCGAGTGGCCTTCGCCTTCGACACGGCTCAAGGTGGCCGTATCCATCCATTGAACGAGGACGAGCTAAGACACTTCCGCAAGGAAAGAGTTGGTGTATTTGGTCCATCTCAGTGGGACACGCCGAACCTTAACGGAGAGTTGCCGTTCACTTTCACATCGCTACCCAGCCCTGCGGCAGTCGAGAAAGCGATCAAAAGCGACATTGGAGGTGAGAATCACTTCCGTTTTGCACCTTCGCGGGGCTCGCCAGAAGACGATGCAAATGGTGTTATGCATTTGCTCGACAACATTGGTAATCCGAGGTACTCTGAGCCTGGCGCGGTTGTTCACATGCAGTCGCCTACCTTCAATCAGAAGAAGCGCTGGATACCAGGATGGGAAGGGGACGGTGTACTGGGTCAGTCAGAGTTCCAGATGACTGTTGCTCCAGCAGGCGAGGTATTCGAGTTGGAGTACTACGAGCACCACTTTTCCACGACGCTGTTGACCGGCTCGAAAGTATGGTTCACCTTTCCTCCGCTGCAAGCCAATCTAGACCTGCTCCGTAAAGCGTACGAACGTATGCATGACAGCAACACCTCACACGTCCCCCTGGATGTTCTCTCGAAAATGCAACATGGCATTGCAATCATTCAGAAGCCAGGACAGACCCTCCTGCTCCCACCATACTGGTCCCACATGATATTCTGTACCGAGACATCAACATCGTGTAGTTTCTCTTTAGCAACCGCCACGCAATTCATGTACCGCATTAAGCACATGGATCTCTGGGTCAGCCACAATCTCTTCTGGGAGACGGGAGAACAGCTACAATCCCACCTCGTGCGCTATGCCTCAGAATTCGCAACTCATTTCGCGACCATTATGACAGGCGATCTCAAGCGCTTCAAAGTCGCCCCTGTGCAGAACCAGATATGCAGCGAGTGGGTCAAGACTGGACCGAAAGAGGCCGCAGAGTTTGAGAACATGAAAGAGAAGATTGGCGTACTCTTGTCATTGATTGAAGACGAGAATGCGAGAGAGAGAATAGATGATGAAATCCGACATGCGTGGATTGAGTTCATGGAGGAGAAGCGCAAGAAGAGGCCAGAATGCCGGCTATGTCGCATACGTATCGAGCACATGCCAGCGGGGGAGACGCCAGATGAGCGATTAGCACGACATGTCACCGACGTGCACTGCTCGTACGAGGAGTAATCATTTCGACATGTCCGTCACAGCGAGAGGTGCACTACTTTGGTGCATCAAATTTTGAAGGTCTTATTCTTATTCCCGGGACGTTCCACAACTGTCATGGAAGAATTCAAATACCTCGCCCGCCCATCTCACGCCACTATCATTCACTATTAGTATAAAGACCCACGTCGCACAATGCGAGTCAAGTCGTCGCAGCCGCGCAACCACAGTGAGGGAGAAGAGCATCGGATCGGTCCCTGCCATCCGACACTAAACCGCCCGGGCCGGCCGCCATCTTCACCCACCAAGCCCAAACAGGTCTAACAAGCGGAAACGACCCACGACTTGAGCTCATGCCCCCGCACACTACACCCTGAAATCTTTTGCCTCCGGTGAACTAGACCGCCGCCATTCTGGCAGCTAGAATGCGCCATTGTCAGCAACCGATACTTTTGTACAAAGCTGAGCTGCGGCTGAAGAAATTTCCTGGAAGCTGAATGGAAGGCCTGATCTACGACCGAGGTTCGGCTCGGACCTGCAGATGAAGATGCAGAAGTGGAGAAGGCATTAGACATGTTCTAGGTCGGAGGGGATGGCCAAATCAGGTACCTATATAAGCAGAGTATGTAATGAACGAACGGGACGGCAGACAAGAAGATATTACAACACGAATCTCGAATTTACCTATTAGTTGACCATTTCTACCCACCTCCTACCCACCCACCCACATCTCCAAAACCTCCATCAGGGACGATCCAGAGACTACACATCACTATCGACAAAGCCTGTCTTAACCCCCCTACCCACAACTAAAATGCGCTTCCTCTCCACCCTCCTGAGCACAACCCTCAGCCTCCTCACCCTCACCTCCGCCGCCTTAACAATGAACACCACAAACGGCATGGGCACCACACCCACCCAACGCTACGTCATCTCAGCCTCACAAGCACAAACCGTCATCGACGCCGCCATCACCAACGCCACATCCCTCCAGATCCCCGAGAACATCGCCATCGTAGATCCCTCTGGCCTCCTCGTCGCTTTCCACCGCATGGACAACGCATTCATCGGGTCCATTGATATTTCGCAGAAGAAGGCTAGGACGGCTGTGCTGTTCAATGGGTTGTATGCTAGTGCGGATTTGTATGCCGCGGTGCAGCCTGGTGCGCCGCTTTATGATGTGCAGAATACGAATGGCGGGTTGATCGCTTTCGGGGGCGGGATACCGATTTACCTTGAGGGAAAGTTGATTGGGGGTGTGGGTGTTAGTGGAGGGAGCGTGGAGCAGGATTTGAGTGTTGCGAATGCGGGAGTGGAGGCTTTGGGGGCGACTACCAAGGCATAGGCCCATGGGGTAGCCGTAGAGGACTTTATTCGATGTTTAGGTCGCTAGCGAAGATATTGTGACCGTGAAGTCATATCTCATACCCCGCCTCGACTCATACCGTGACAACGACACATGCGTGCTCAGCATGCATTCCCACTATCCTCTCTCTTCTGGCGCTTAGGCCCCCGGTCAAACGATTGTGGAAACCCTCCTCCAAGCCGCTGCAGATCTCCATTCCGCGCCACTTCCTCCGCAAACATGAATCTGCCAAATGCACATCAGCACGTCAGACTTGGAGGAAGTTACCTCATGAGCTCATACGTCTGGCTCCTCTCCATGCCTTCTATCGCATCTTTGGCATCGAGCCTCGTTCGTTCCTTGACCCCCTCCATCTCCGCAATCGCTGCGAACCGTTCTTTCCAGAGTGCCCATCTTTCTTTGCTGAACTCGCTTTTGCCCTTCCACAGTTCGCCTCCGCGTCCTGGGTTGCCTTGCTTCTTGTCGGTGGGTGTGAGGTCTTTTTCCATGCGGAAGAGGTCGTGGCCGTAAACTATTATCCAAGCTGCAGCTGCGGGAACGTTTGCGTCGTATTTTTGGTTGGCCGTCGACATGGGTTCATCGATGGGAGGTGTCTCGAGAGCTTCCCGTAGCGCGAAGATGGCGTACATGGAGAGATCGTAGATATGTTCCCTTGCTACAAAGGCGAAGAAGTAGTTCATGTTCGTCCATGCTTGCACCTCCGTCTCGATGAAGCCTTCGTGAGCGGCTGGCGCGTCGTTGAAGGCCTCACGACAGGCCATGCCAAAGTCAGTCATTTCCCTGTAGAGGTAGTCATACTCCTTGTTGTCCGGTATTGAGTGCTCTTTGAATGCGACGAGTAACTCGATGAGTTGGTGGTGCTGTGTTCGGGCGCCGTCGCGGAATGTTGATCGTCTTGCTGAGTGAATGATGCTGGTCCACAGGTCCATGAAGTCGACATCGTCGAGTTTGGCCTCCTTGATCTTTTCGTCAATCGGTCCGAGGATGCGCGCCGTCGCTTCTTTCACGTCGATCTTCTCATCGAGGTAGTCTTGGATCAACGGGTAGTACGCGCTGTCTTCTTTTGGACGGAACCATCCTCTTATCTTTGCAATCTGGTCGATTTGATCTGCCTCGTTCTGGAGGGTTGGGAGAATATCCTGGATCCTCTGGTTTTGTTGCTAGAACAGAATATTAATCATGAGCTAAGATGAAATCATTGTGAGAAAATACCGCTATGCGAGCCATCGTTCTGATCGGTGGAGCGAGACGTGGTGAGCGTAGGCTGGTGGGATGAGACAAAGGTACACGGTGTTTCCTTCTAGTGATGTCATACGCGGCGGTACCACGGTCAGTCCTACTAATCCCACGTGTATGCCTCGTCAAGGCAGCTGGTGACCTGTGCCGGACCAGTTGAAGTACGCTATGAGGCATCCCTTTCTGAAAGTGGATACACACGGCCAGTCTGTGTTGATAGGCGCGGAGCATCGTCCGCGTAACGGAAGGCAGGCGTTCGGTTGGCTGGCGAGGTGCATGGTACAAGAGCAGCTGTTACACCTGTAGCAACCACGCCTATAGTATAGCCGATCCGCGCTATGATGGTCGTCTGAAGTGCGATGATCAGGATCGAAGCAGGAAGTCTTAAGAGAAGCTGATCGCCGAACGTGTGGGTGATCAACCCGAAGCTGTCGGTAAACAAGGGTCCTCGGAATGCCGGCGACGGGCTTCCCGCAACCTTGGAACGTGTCTTTCTTTGCCCGCGGGGCACACCAGCATCGCACGGCAGTGATAAGGCGAGCGTCAAAAACAATTCAATTTCAAAGCTTAAGTGAGATTCGGTGATCGAAGGGGAAGTTTTTGCACTTCATGAAGTCAGCGATGGCCTCGGGAGGTATTCGCGATTCCGCAGTACCGCGTGGGTACATCAAAACTACGAAGTACCTATTCTTCAACCCTGTCTTACAGCAACAAATGAAGTGCGCCGTCGACTCAGAATTGGGCCTGATATCGGCTCGATCTGGTCAAAGAGGTTCCTTTCCTACAGCTTCGCACCCCTCTCCCTCGCAGCCAGAGCCCTCAAATCCTTTCTAAGTATCTTCCCTGCAGGACTTTTCGGGACCTCGTCTAGGAATACAACACCTCCCCTCAACTGTTTATGCCCAGCAACCTTCCCCTTGACGAATTCAACGATTTCTTCCGACCCAATCTTGCACTTGTCAGCGACAACGTATGCTCTCGGCACCTCATTCGTCCCATCATCCGTCGACACACCAATAACTGCAGCGTCCAAGATCAGCGGGTGGCTAAGAAGTACGGCTTCCAGCTCCGCAGGCGCTACCTGTAGCCCCTTGTACTTAATCAACTCCTTCTTCCTATCCTGCAGAAATAGAGGTATGAAGTCAGTGTATGTCTCACACACACTTCGTACACTTAGAACTTACCACGATATAGAACATCCCATCCCTAAACTCCGCAACATCACCCGTATGAAACCAGCCATCGTGGGTGAAAGCCTCTCTATCCGCCTCTTCATTCCGATAATACCCCTTACACACCACGGGCCCTTTCACCAGCACCTCCCCAGCCATCCCCTCTTCCACATCTCCTCCCTGATCATCAACAAGCCTAGCCCGCATATTCGGCAACAGCATAGCCACACTCCCCGTATCATCCCGCATCCCAGGCGTCATAATCGTCGCACTCCCCGTCGTCTCACTCAAGCCCCAGGTCTGATCCACAAAACACTCCTCACCACCAAGTTTCTGACTAGCTGCATACTGAAGATCCCTTCCTAGGGGCGCGGCTCCCGAAACACAGAATTCCAGGGAGGCGAATTGCGTGGTTGCTAGGGGACTTTTGGCGATTAGCAAAAGGATGGGGGGAACGGTGAAGAAGAAGGTTATGTGGTAGCGGGCGTTGTAGGTGAGGAAGGATGGGAAGTCGAAGCGGGGCATCCAGTATACGGTTCCGGCCAGGTAGAAGGGGTTTATGAGGTAGCCTTGTACGCCGGCTATGTGGGCGGTGGGGAGGTCTGGTGGGGGATGGGATGTCAGCGTACATTTATCTTAAATTGCCAATATCGTATGAGGAAGCATAACTCACGAGCGACTGTCCGGTATTCAAAGTCCGGGCGTTTCTCTTTCACCCACGCTTTCATCATATCCCCCGTACTAACCGTCTGGCTCACGATATTTCGGTGCGAAAGCTTTACTCCCTTGGGTAATCCAGTCGTCCCGGAGCTATAAATCAGCACTATCAGACTCTCGTCCAGCTCTTTCCAATCCGTAATCCGCGTCCACGGCAGTAAATCTCCTCCATCAATGATGTTCTGCCCCGGCCTCCCATCTTTACCAACAATCTCCAACGTCCATTCCCTCCCCTCACTCATAAGCAGTACGCGCCCGCCTCCACCCTGACCCCACCCCGCGTCCTCTGCAGCTCTTATCGTAGTCTCCAGGGTAGCTTGACAGGTGACAATAATCTTCGAGCTGGCACCTTGGAGTTGCTTGGCTAGTTCGCTGGCCGTGCTTGCCGCAGACGCAGCGGAGAAGATACCACCTGCACCGATGATTCCATACGCGAGGACAGGGAGGAGGTAGTGGCCGGTCGAGATGACGGAGCACACGTCTTTTCCTGGGCCATGGGCGCCGATACCAAAGTGGTTGCGGAGGGCGGCTGAGGTGGCTTGGGTTAGGTGGCGGGCGCGCGATGTGGTTAGGATTAGACTTGGGTCTGCGGCTGAGACGTGGAGGGGAGTATCTGGTCTGGCTAGGCTGTGTTCGGAGTCTATGAGAGGGGGTGTTGTTAGTTGAGAAGGTTGTTGGGGTGGTGTTAGGTGCTTTTGCAGTGGTGGGCGTACAGAAAAGAAGACTTAGTACATCGAGGTCAGGGATCGGGTAGCTTTTCTCGGAACGATAGATGATTCCATCAGCCGTCTTGTCTACAACGGTAGCCATATTACTGCGAAGCTCCTCCTCATGCAAATACAATGTATGCAGATTCAACTAATGAAGCCCGACGAACGAAGCAGAAATGGCCACTACGGTCAATGGTACCACAAGACGTTGTTCTCGTGTATTCGGCTATATATACTCTAGCTAGAGGAGCCGCACAATCGCCCTCGTATAGCGACGCGTTTCCTCGGCTCCCTCGTTCCAGTTTGGATGGGCTGTCGATCCATCTGTGGCTTCGGCAAGCCTGGTATGTCAGTACTAGCGAGTAAGCGGGGTAAGTCGGGGTAATCAATAGCAGCCATGCAACTGGGCGCCATCGTGAGGCTATTCAGCTTTGACATATCAGACACTGATTGAGACGTGCAATGCTTGCTCACGATTTACGAGTCCTTGCGCTCTGAGCGTGGGTAGGTCATGATGTGAGCGTCGTCTTTCAACCTCTGCGTTTTGCACTCGGCTCATCATAGGCACCTTCAGCATCATCCCCCTCGGCGTCGTCTCCACCAGCAGGTTTGTTGGCTTTCTTTGGTTTTCGTCTCTTCCGCTTGTGCTTGACGGGTGGTTCTTCTGCAGCCGCAGTGATCTCCATGGCTACTTCTTCTGACTTTCGCGATAAAACCTGAACGGCCTTTTCAGGCGGACCTTTGGTTGTATACGCCATCGGAAGCACTGCTGGTCGTGCGATCGGAGGCAGCTCGCTCTCGTCGACCATGTTCTTGCGCATTCCTCTAGGGTTCTCTGCCTTGAGCAACGCGACGTATTCAGCGGTGCGTTTGGTGTGCTCAACCTTGGTCATTATCTTCCAATCCACAGGCTTGTCTGCTGCTCTCCACTTTTGCCAAACATCGTCGTGCATTACGCTTCCGCTGAGGACAACGAAAGCGCAGCTGTTCCACAATGTATGGACTGCTTGTATGGGTAGCCACTTGGACCTCAGCTCGCCATGCTCGGCAAGCCAGTATGCGACCTTTGCTGGCGTAGGACAGATGTTGCGTAGGTGTGGCTCGACGTAGATTGTGCGCTGGTCCCAGAATGCTAGGCCGTCGTCATCGGTGACTTCGAACGAGTTGTGGGGTAAGTATTTGGGAGGGTACGAAGAGGGCTTGCGGCGAACATGGTAGCCATTGCTCGAGAGCTCTATCATCTTAGAGGGGTGGTCGCGGAGTGCTTGCTGAAGGAGGATTTGAGAGGCTTCGGGCCTCAGGGAGGAGATGTTGGGGTGTTCGAGGATGGCGGTGAGGTGGATGTCTGTATAGCAAGTCAGTTATGGGGGAGGACATAGACCTGGGTATGTATACAATTCTCCTCGCCATCGACGGTTCTGTAACGGTCCTGCAGCCACCTGGCGCGCTGCTCTTCCTGGTGGGCATAGTCGGTGAAGATCAGCTCGATGCCAGCAGCAAGCTGGCCAATGTACTCTGGCGTGACGGGCTTGGTAGTAAATCTGGGACCAGGCTTGGTGGCTTTGAGGTCAGTCTGTTCTGGCTGGTCAGTAGGTGAGCTGGTTCTTGTCTTCTGCATCGCCTCGACCAGCGCATCGTCTTGGTCGCCTTCAACAGGCGCTTTAGAGGGACCTTGGGCAGGCTTGGGCCGCGGCTTCTCGCGGACGCCCTTGAGCCTGAGCGCTCTGGGAATGAACATGGCACGGATGTTCCGCTCTCGTGGTGGAGAGAGTTGACAAGAATTGGCGTCGCTGAACAAGTTCGAGTGCCATCGCAGACCGCATTCGCGACGCGCCGCGGCTCAGGCACGGACCTACGTCAGTCCCCAGAATCTCAATTTCCGTACAGCGCTGTCGACCAACAATCTCGCAAACCTCCTTCATACCCGATTTTGCCCTCGACCGCCAAGATGGCCAAAGAGAAGAACTACAACCCCGTGCAAGAAGCCAAGAAGGCCGAGAAGCAGAAGCAGATCCGCAAGCAAAAAGCCAACCTCCAGACCCAGCGCAACGAGAAACTCGCGCGCCGAAACCCCAATCGCATACAACGCGACATTGACAACCTCAAAGAACTGGACCAAAGCGGCGCAATACGGCCACATGAGCGGCAACGGCTACAGGAGCTGGAGAAAGATCTCGCCGCCGTCAACAAGGCGCGCGCAGCACTCGGCGACAAAGCGCCCGTCTTCAAGCCAGAGCGGCAATACAACAACGAGGACAGGGGGCGGGGAGGCGACCGGGGAGGCAGAGGCGGCGGTGTTCTAGGCAAGCGATCGCGCGACGGACAGCGCAAAGACGACGACAGCAGCGACACCGACGATGACGTGAAGCGCATCCCCATGCCGCGCGACACACCACCGCCTATACCGCGGAAATACCTACCACAAGACCCGCAAGACGAAGCAGCCGCGCCCGCCGAACCCAAGAAACCCACCATCGTCTACGAAGCTGCACCCCAGGTCCGCGATCTGCGCAAAGAAGCAACAAGATTCATGCCTGCGTCTGTGGCGCAGAAGGTCAAGCTGGCAAAGGGCGAGGGGCGGTTACTTGAACCCGATGAGTTTGACAAGTTGCGGGAAGGAGGGTATATGAATGAGGGGAAGAAGAAGGATGACACGGAAGAAGGTGCTGAGAAGGTTCCTCGAACAGCTGAGGATGAGGAGCTGGATGCTTTCTTGAGGTTGCAGAACACATCGGCGGGTGATATGGCAGAGCAAGTTGCTGAGGCTGCGGTCCAAGAAGCAGAGTACAAGATGATGGCTGCTGAGGCCAAGGGGCAGATGGAGGGCATATCTGACGAGGCCAAGACGGCGGAGAATACACTCAGGCATGTGCAGATGGAGGAGGTGGAAGATGAAGATCTATAGGACATGCTACGAGTTTCAAGTGTATCATGAACAAGTTACACTCTCAAACTTCCGGGCTGTATTTCCAGGGTTCCACATTATGCCCATAATTGTGAGGGCACAGCAGACGTGAAGCTAGGTGCACTCATCGAGCGTTGAGAAATCCCAACTAGTGCTTTGAGAAGACATGAGCAGGAAGGCAACTGAGCTATGGTTGAAGTTACAGCTGAATGTGAAAGAAGCAACGAAAGGCAAGAAAGGCAAGTCACAGCAGAAGACAGATTGTTGATCATTGTTATTTCATTCATGGTAGGGTATATAGATATGCGGCTTTCACGCCGAAAGGGTATGTTCCATCCATCGCAGTATCATGTTCGTCCATTCTCAGGTCTTCATGGTCGTAAGAGGAGGGTTGTGTATCGTGGCTACCAGGCAACAGCAAGAAGGAAGCGAGTGCTTTACTTCTTCTGGCCAGTGGCGCCGGAGAGGGTGTCGGAGATGCTCTGGCCAGCGTTGCCGAGAGCGTCCTGAGCTTGCTTCATGACACCCTGGCCCTGGGCGGAGGCATCGTCGCCGCCTGAGCGGGTGGCGTCACCGAGCTTCTGTCCGGTGGACTTCTGGCCCTCTGGTGTGTATGTTAGTTGATGGCCGGGTGGTAAGTGGTGAGTAGTGGAAGAGACGTACCAGGCTGGACCATACCGGCAACGCGGTCACCGGCTCCAGTGAGGCTCTCGCTGGCCTTCTCGGTGGTGGACTTCTGGGAGTCGGGGGTCACTGAGAGACTGTCAGATGGTGCACTGAAGTTGGGTGAAGGCAGTAAGCTTACTCTTCTCGGAGGCTTGCTCGCCGAGACCCTTGCGGAGGTTGTCAGACATGTTGGTAGTTGGTGGTTGATTGGTTGGTTGAGGGCTGAAAGTAGTAGTTGTAGTTGAGTTGATTGGAGTTGAGTGTGATGAAGGTTCGAGCAAAGGGAAGCAGAAGCAGTCTTATATACTACCCTTCAGCATCGTCCAGGCTGCAGTGACGTGCTACGAAAGCCGTACGTCATCCCTCGCGAGGCAGGCACCGTAGCCGCAAAGGGTGTGGGTGAGAGAGGGCAGCAGCAGTCGTACCGTGTACTCAGTGGGCCCTGTTACTTGCTCCTTCACATGTGCGGTTGGCAGGGTTTACAGGGGTTCCTGCCAGGATGTATACTAGTTTGCAGACGCCACAGCCCGCCACGATAGGTAGATCAGCACTTCCGCTATATGTGATTGATGGTAATCTGGCGCCTTTGCATGGCATTCGCGTCATCTGGCCACGGCTTAAGGTGGGTACGGGTTCCAGATCTTCTGCCGCGGGACGAACACTGCCCCGCTATGAGTGAGATATGCTGTCCAAGTTGGATAGAGGGGCATATGCTGCCGCGGCTCCCCCTCTCGCGCAAATGCTTTTTACTCTGGATAGTTGGTAGCGTAGTAGAGACATAGTTGGTAGCGTTGGATTAGCACCAGTTCTTTCTTGGAAACGGTAGACTATCCCCTCGCCCTACTTCTAGCTCACAGCCATACGCCGGAGAAGGAGCCGCTGTTTGCCAATATCGGGTACGCGAACAGTGGGAGGGTTTAGTGGGGCAGTACCCCGCTGACGTAGCTCAGAGGCACGAGGAAGTCGCGCAGCACGTGACCAGCATCATCACCATTGCACACTAACCCCAATCCATCACCTGGGCACCCACCACACCACGCGCTGCGCGTGCAAACATCCTACAGACATCAACACGTCCGACTTCTGCAGTTCGGCTGAACGGCGGCAATCGACTTCACGCGTACAGCGCGTACAGTGGACGGCGTTGCTAATTCTGGCCTTTTGCCGCTCAGCGAAAACTTGTTTGACATCTGTCGCAGCCTATCCACTTTTCATCTCGTCAACGTCGTCAATGTGACGAGCCTTCGCTTGGGCGATTGGAAGCTGTGCACATCCTGCGCACAACTCCGATCATATACTTACATAGAAGAAGCGGGCCGTTATCCGTTGCTGACCTCCGCGCTGTCTGCTGTGAACCTTGGCTGATCTCACAGCATCCGTGGCGAGGCTGAGTCCTGCCAACATCGCGTCCATTGGTACCACAACAACTGCAAGTCAGCAACAAGAAGCGGGAGAAGGCTGGACCTATTTCCGGCCACAGCTACGGCCTCGAATCACTATCGGGGAACTGGCCTTGTCTGCACGGCGAGGTCTGCGGTCTCACCTGGCCGGCCGCAGGCACCCTTGGGCCGAGCCCGCGCACAACTCAGATAACGCCGGCTATAGTATACTCCTATAGCTGATACCAACATCGCCCTATGAAAGCGATCACCAGCATGATGCCAGCATGGTCAGCAGTCGGAAGTGCGACCGTCGGATGCTCGATGAAAGCTGCCTGGGAGGCCTGACAGCCACATTCAATAGCCAACAACAACGTTCGACCATTGTCTTATACGGGTTGCATGCATTCGAGTCTTGCCGCGCGACTTGGAGTCGTCTCCCAACTGTGCCGTCGGCGTCGCGCGATATCCTCAGGAAGGGCTCGCCGTTACACACGATGCTCCTGAGCGAACTCCCCGGGTCGGCAAGGCTGGACAACGCTTCACAAGCCACGAAAGGGCCCCTGTGCCACAACCGACCTAACCAAACAGGCGATATTTCAGATATACAACCAATCAACCTTCAATCTCCCATATCTGCCTTACCAATAGGTATACCCAGCGTCTGTTCCCCGTGTTTCAGATCGGATCCGCTCTAGCGCTTTCCTAGACAGTAGTCGCTTCATGATAGGGTCCGCGTCGATCAGGCTCCGACAAACCTAATTTTACTTACCGCTGCACAGTACCAAACCTCACCGTTTGGTGTATGGACATGCCCTCTTTCACAGTCATTGACTCGTCGACGGCTCTCGCCCGCATGAGTCTCCATGCCTGACAATCCGCAAGGCCGCCTGGCTAGCTGTGCCACAGGCTCTAACAATAGCTCAAGCACAGTAATGGCAGGGATGACTTTATGCGGCAGAGAATGCCATAGGTACATTCGATATGTCGAACAGGTTTGCTTGTGTACAGTATTCTCTTGGAGTTCTCGGCGTTATCTGCACTGCCGTGACTAGGATCGAACTCACACGCCAGCCTACAGTCCGGTTCCTTGATACATCTGCCTAAACTTTCGAAGTCGAGGTCGCTTCGGTCAAAGTCACAGCGTCTGGGGAAAACATAAAACACAGAGCGGTTCGCCTCCGTTAGTTATCACTTCCTTATCAAGCCAGCATCCTCTCATTGAGCTCGAAGCACTTCAATAATCCCTATTGTCACTATTGCTTAATCCACCATGAAGTACCTCACAGCGCTGTTGATACCTCTCCTCTACTGTACTCCTACATACGCAGACTTTGCCGACGACGCATTCTCAGCGATAAAAACTCTACAAGAAAAATGGTACAACTCTGATACTGGTTTATGGTACGTCGTAGTCCACTCTCACAATGGCCAAATCTAATATCTACCAGGAACGACTTATGGTGGCAGTCTGGCAACATTATTGAGACCGTCGCGCGCTTCGGTATTCAGGATGCCGACTTCAAAGAGCACGCCATTAACATCGTCTCCACCACATACGCCAAATCGTCCCAACAGCACGGTGCAGATGGGTGGAAGAACAAATTTTACGATGACGAGGGGTGGTGGGCCATGGGCTGGATAGCCTCATACGATCTCACTGGAGACATGAAGTACCTCGACACAGCCAGAGACATCTTCGCCGACATGACTACAGGCTGGGACGGCAATCGGTGTGGCGGCGGCCTATGGTGGTCCAAAGACCGCGACTACATTGCTGCCATCTCAAACGAACTCTTCTTATCCGTTGCTGCCCATCTGGCAAACCGGGCCGAGGGCCAGATGAAAGAGGACTACACCAACTGGGCTGAGATGGAGTGGGACTGGTTCGAAAAGTCCGGTATCATCAACTCCGACAGCTTAGTAAACGACGGCATCGATCCATCAAGCTGCAAGAACAACGGCAGAACAACCTTCACTTACAACCAAGGCATCGTCCTAGCTGGTCTCTCGGAATTAGCTCGCGCAACAAACAACGGCGATTACATCGAAAAGGCCTACAAGCTCGCTACGGCGTCGACTTCTAAACTCAGTGACGGCAGCGGTATCCTCACCGAGCCCGCTGATGGCCCTCTCGACCCCGTCGCCTCGCAATTCAAGGGCGCATACGTTCGCGGTCTATCAACGCTGTATGAAAACGCACCACAAGAAGGTGTCCAACAATTCTTCATGCGCAATGCGAATGCGGCGAGGAGTCAGCCTAGGGTTGATGGTGGCGTTATTATAGATCTGTGGCAGGGGCCCAGCGACAATGGCAACCCGAGCACACATGCGAGTGGCATTGACATTCTTGTCGCCGCTGCGCTGGCTGGAGAAGCTTAAGATGACTGGCATTTGTTCTAGTAATGTTTTATACCCCCTTCTGTTTTCATGTTCTCGCTTGTTTGGCGCTGGATCTCGCGGGTTTGTGGTCATCTTGGTCGGAAAAGATCGGAAAAGAGAATCATTTTGTTTAATGGTAATTACGAATTCAACGACACATCAACATCGATCTCCGAAAGATACTATTCGTTAACTTACCTGATGTCGTTGTTGGTGGATGTGCCGAGCTACATGGACACGGGCCAAATCAAGTAAAGTTTGACCTGCACCACGTGAACGGCACACTCGCTAAACTTCCAGTGAAACCCCGACCGGGCTCTTCCGGGCATTGCACGATATCTTACAGCAAAAAAGCCATACATTCATCTTCATTGACACCCTGCACGCAGGAGGCGTTCTCTTGCGCGCTCGCAATCGAGCACGCAATGTTGCGGGGAAGCATCGGCGTGGCCGGCACTTGCAACGAGCGCCCCGAGGTCGCGCCCAGACAATAGCATCAACGTTGTTCCCAGCTCCACTCTCCTACACTTATCCGAACGCGTCCAGTACGTCCTCGCCTCACGTAAAACGTTTTTACCGAAGTGCCTTAGTCAAATCACCGCGCAGATGCAAGTCGATAAGGCTACAGCTGCGCACTGTCCTGCTCGAAGATACGCCCCCGATCTTTGCACACGTCGATTAGGGCTAGAGGCGGCATGCATGCTGCTTCGTTTGTTGGCGGCTGCAGGTCTTACTGCTCATGGTAGGGTAGATACGCCCGTGGTTACACCGGTTTGGGAGGGTGTTGTATTGTCAGAGGTGCTGTCATGCCGGGTCTATCTGAGGATTCGGGATGTGCAGAGGATGCGTAATGTAAGGTTTGCGAGCTTTTTGCCGTGTTCATCTTGTGGGTATCAGAGCGGGATTGGAAGAGCCTTGTCTTACATATCAGACCTCATTGTTGGGGGGTTCTCTTCACTTTCCGCACGTTCTTCGTTTTTCTTCATCTACCTCTCGTCATGGGCTACGAAGCGAACAAATACCGGTCATGGTTGCCAAACTTCCTCAAGAAGTCGATCCAAGATGACGCCACGCCTGATGAGCGAATATCTCTTCTCCCAGACTCGCAGCATGAAGAATGGTCTACTGGCGAAACCTACGAGCTCGAAGATGGCACTGCGTCAAAGTCCCAACTTATCCTCCACGAATTCTGGGTACTGTTCAAAGGATCACTGCCTGTGGTCGTAGCATACGCGTTGCAGAATTCACTGCAAACAGTATCCGTCCTCATCGTCGGCCGCCTCTCGCCAGAAGCATTGGCTACCGCTGCCTTCTCGTATATGTTCGCAATGGCTACTGGTTGGCTCGTCGCTCTTGGTGGCACGACCGCGATCGACACGCTGGCTTCTGCCAGTTTTACCGGAAGCAAGAATCGGCACGACCTGGGTATCATCCTTCAGCGCGCATTCGTCGTTCTTCTACTGTTCTACATACCCATCGCTATCGTGTGGTTCTGCTCCGAGCCGCTCTTCAAAGCGCTCGGCCAGGAGGACTATATCGCCAGAGACTCGGCAAGGTTTCTCTCGGTGCTTGCCCCAGGCGGTATTGGCTACGTATACTTTGAGGCGTTGAAGAAGTATATGCAGGCTCAAGGTATGGTTCTTGTTCTGCCGCAATCCGGAAACACATGCTGACGTACTCAGAAATTATGAGACCCGGAACATACGTCCTCTTGATTACCTCCCCCCTCAGCGCCGGTCTGAACTACCTCTTCGTGTACACTTTCCAGATGGGCCTCCTCGGCGCTCCGCTTGCTACCGGCATCGCATACTGGGCATCCTTTCTTTTGCTGCTCGCATATGCTCGCTTCGTCGACGGATGGCAATGCTGGGGCGGTTGGGACCGTAAGTGTCTACAAAACCTTTGGACCTTCTCACGGCTTGCTTTGCTCGGAGTTATACATGTCGGCACGGAATGGTGGGCGTTTGAGATTGTTGCGCTTGTTGCAGGCAAACTCGGCACGATACCACTCGCCGCGCAAAGTGTCATCATGACCACGGACCAAGTTATGAACACCATTCCTTTCGGAGTTGGTGTCGCTACCTCGTCGCGTGTCGGAAACCTCCTCGGCGCACGCAATGCCAAAGGCGCCGCCAGAGCTGCCAACGTGGCTGCGGTACTTAGCATGCTGCTCGGTGCGCTTGTACTGGCTGTCCTTATGGGAGTAAAGGACTTTTACGCCAAGATCTTCAACGACGACGCAGAAGTCATCAAGCTCACTGCAAAGGTAATGCCTTACGTTGCGCTTTTCCAAATCGCAGACGGACTCAATGGCAGCTGCGGAGGCGCGCTCAGAGGCATGGGTCGACAGCATATTGGAGCAACGGTAAACATTGTCAGCTACTACTGCGGAGCTCTGCCACTCGGCATTTGGCTTGCTTTCCACGGTTGGGGTCTTGGCGGCTTATGGGTAGGCCAATGCATCGCCCTGTATCTTGTCGGATTTGCAGAATGGGCGATCGTTGCGTGGAGTAACTGGGACTACCAAGTCAAGAAAGCTTTCGAACGGATGGATTCGGATGACAGGGCGGAGCTGGGCGTGCCTCCAGATGAAGCAGCGCCGGTACACAGATAGTGGCCTCGCATCATTGAGGTTGATCGGACCTCGGAGGTATTAGCAACGCGTCTTACTGTGTAGACGCACGGAATAGAGATAGATAGCTGCCCGGAGCCACCAATGCACGAAGTGTCAAAAATTACTCGATACGTTAAGCGAGACGTTTTTAGTGCCGCCGGTATCTGAACCCTGGCTACGCGAACGAACCTCACTCCTCATCACATCATCACCTCCGCACAGCTACCCGATCGCTGCGTACCCCACGCCTTGCTTCCTCCTCAATGGCATGGAACCCCGTACTGGAAACGCGTGAGTGAACGATGTATGCAACCGTGCATGCGCTGCATCTCGGCCCATCAATCGTCCGCCTAACCTGCCACGGAGATTGCACTTGAAGGATGCATCCGGATCACACAATTCTTATCGAACCAATCCGCGTACCATATAACAGCTACGAAAGACCGTTACGTAGAGATGTGAAGCTCTAGACTACGTAACAACCTCACCGGAAAGCTCACTTGCATGCATGAGCTAGCGTAACTTTCCTACGCGTCTTGACTCGCTTCAGATAAGGCTGCGATACCCAGAGATCGAGGCTGCTGAATATCCGCGTTACATATTGTCTATGGAGAAGATTACTGGTCGGATTCCCCGGGTTTTATCACCGTGGCGTCCGTCATTGTACATGCGTGCATGGCGGGGTGGGTATCCACATCGATCAGCAACGGCTGGTGCATGTCGTTCTCGGTGGAATGAAGTTGCGCAAGAGTACGAGGATGAGAGTGAAGAGTTGGTGCGACCATCACGGTATTCAGATGGTTATTCAAAAGGTAGACATAGTTGACTGCAGAATAGTCCAGTCCAATTCTCATTGCAGCACTTCTTCTCCTCCACGCGCGAAGCACTCGACTCCGAGTTCACAACCTACGTCAACGCAATATCGAGGCCTGTGGCTTCTCCAAGAGCCTACTAACCGATTGGAGGCAGTACGGTGCTATGCCTGCAGACGACATCATCATGGAGCAGGGGTAGCTCCAAAAAATGTTGTTTACCTAACAGCAGTTTACCTAACGTGCGCTGGTCAAGCAAGTCACTGATAGAGTTGCGCTCGATATCTTCAGCTATTTACTGCGAGCTCTCCGCGGTCCCCAGATCTGTTCATTCATCTCCTCTCCTCCAGTTTCACTCCATCGTTATCCTGAGACTCCAGCAAGATGAGGTTCACTCCCGCGCTTTTGAGCTTCGCGGCTACGGTAGCTGCGCACGGTGACCACGGGCATGACCAAGACCCTTTGAATGGTCCTCATGAGGGACTGTGGTACAACACACTTCCTGGCGATGGCGGCAAACAAGTACGCATCGATAGCTCGAAATGACGCCGTACAACAATAACTTACATGACTGCAGGCCGACTCCATCTTCTCCGGCATATCTACATTTGGCCGCCTCCCATACCACCCATGTCTCTCTAGCAACACGCAGTTCGACATTGCGTTCATTGGTGCGCCCTTTGACACTGGCACATCCTACCGCCCTGGTGCTCGCTTCGGGCCCAGCGGTATCAGACAAGGTTCCCGCCGCCTCAATCTCTAGTATGTTTCCTTGAAAGCAGTCGCATGCTTACTTTTATTGTGTCGTGATCCAAAGGCTCACGCAAGATTGGATTTAGTGGTGGCTACAACGTTCCACTCGCGGCGAACCCGTTCAACTCGTGGGCTAAGGTTGTGGACTGCGGTGATATTCCCGTTACTTCGTAAGTTACTTTGCGTCCTTACGTACTTGAGAAGCTGGTGTTAGGATGAGCTAACTCGTTTGCTCGTGTAGGTACGACAACGCGTATGCGCTCCAGCAAATTGAAGAAGGCCACAACCTACTGTTGAGCCGCCCGCCACACACACATGCCAACAAGCCAGGCCCCTCAAAGACAGGCAAGACGCTCCCTCGTCTGATCACTCTCGGAGGAGACCACACCATCACACTCCCCCTTCTCCGTTCCATCAACCGAGAATACGGCCCCATCACCGTCATCCACTTTGACAGCCATCTGTAAGCCCAAGTCTACCCTCGTATTTCCTCCCTTGAAGCTCCCAATAACACCTCCATCTAGCGATACCTGGCGCCCCAAAGTCTTCGGCGGCGCACCCTCCGAACAAGCCAGCATAAACCACGGCACCTACTTCTTCCACGCCGCCCAAGAAGGCCTCCTCGCAAACGACACCAACATCCACGCCGGCATCCGCACGACCCTATCCGGCCCCTCTGACTACGAAAACGATGGCTACTGCGGTTTCGAAATCGTCGAAGCACGTGAAGTGGACAAGATCGGCACCGATGGCATTATCAAGAAGATCCGCGAGAGGGTCGGCTTGGAGAAGCCCGTGTATCTGAGTATCGATATCGATACGCTGGATCCTGCTTGTACGTTCATCAGTTCGAGGAACAGTCGAGTTACACGTGGATGGCATAGCTAACGTGTATGAACGCACAGTCGCACCCGCAACTGGCACCCCCGAAACCGGCGGCTGGACCACACGCGAACTCCGCACCATTATCCGCGGTCTCGAAGGCATCAACCTCATCGCCGCCGACATTGTCGAGGTCGCACCCGCTTACGACACCAACGCCGAATTAACCACTATGGCTGCTGCTGTGCGTTTCTATTTCCTTACTCTCCTTGGCTCGATTATGTATATGCTGGTTTGGGGCTTTCACTGACGATGGTGTGTGTTCTAGGATACGCTGTATGAGGTTATGACGTTGATGGTTAAGAAGGGGCCGTTGAGCTATATGGGGGCTCCCAAGGAGATTATGGAGTTGTAGATGATGAGATGGAGGGTGTGATGGGGTGTGGAGAGGCGGAGTTGTGGGGATGATGGGAACGGACGGTGGAGGGCATGGAGCGAGCTCAGGTTTGTGGACGACGGATAGGTGCCTGTATTGCCATGGAACATGTAGATGATAGTGATGATAACGATGACGACGAATGACAGCCTTTTTACGGCATACCGCACGGTGTTCCTTCCAATGAACTGCGCAATCATCCTAAGCAGGTTGCCATGCGTGGGTCAAGCATTGGGTCAAGTCTTGAAGGTACCAAGTTCCGACTGGTAAGAGTTGCTCCCCTAATACTATAATGTAACGACTACTACCACCTAATACAAGAGAAAACCTAAACACCCTAGAGCCTATGTTATTATCAGGCTACCTACTTTGCATGTTTTTATGTTAATGTAGGCTGCAGGGTGTTCGATTTTCTCTTGTATAAGTTGCTACTACTACACGTCGTCTCTCGTTTCTCATGACATCATCACCACCACATGCTCGCACCATGAGCCGCCTTTCACTACCATTACACATCAAGCGAAAAAGCTCAAGCCTTAAGACCAATCTCAACAGCAGCGAGGATGAACTCCATGAAACCAGCGTTGGTGTCAATGATGTTCTGGATGTACTCCTCGCTCGTAGGGTAGAAGTTAGTTGGGTAACCAAACTCCATGGTGTATCCGTAGACCTTGGTGAGCTTCTTATTACCCTGCCATCGGCTGAAAGACCAGTCATCTGTCGCGCCGGAAGTAGGGTAAAGACCAACAGCCTGTTGGGGAACGTATTCGCGGCCTCCAACGGAAATCATGGCATCGGTGGTGCGGTTGGCTGCGATGCGGATGTTGTCCCAGTCCTCTTGGTCAATGTACTCCTTGTACAGGTCGTCCTCGACGATACCGCGCTTGCCGTCGTAGGCAGGGTTGAACAGGTTCTGCTTGGGGTCGTGGGATTGGTCAACGTCGTCTCCCCATGAGTAGAGCAGAGTTCCGGCAGCAGAGTGGACGTCAATGTACCAGTGGATGTTTGGGTACTCGTCATACACCCAGGCCATGTCTCGCGACTCAGGCTCGGAGAATGGTGCGGTGCCATAGAAGGCCTGGGAAGCGGGGTTCGTTGAAGCTGGGGAGACGGAAGGGTCGAACTTCTCAGTGAAGTTCCAGAGGAAGTCAAAGTTCCTATTCAGATCTACACCAACGCTGAGGGGTTCGTTGGGCCTAGCAGAAGCTGGATTGCGATTCTTCCGCCAGAGGTTGCTGTTGGCTTGGTCGTGGCGCACACCATCTGGGTTCAGCATGGGAATGAAGACTACTCCCGCACCGAGAGCCTTCTTGACTTGGCTGTTGGTGTACTTCTTGTTGCCGTAAGTGAGACCGATACGGTGCTCGTTCGCATAAAGAAGGTCAGAGACGAAGTAGATCAGGTTGTCAGGTCCTCCGCGCTCACGTGCGTGAATGCCTACTCGAGTTAGTTTGATCTACGACAGCTTCATGAATCGATGCATACCTGAAGTGAAGTAGATGTACTGCTTGTCCTTCTTGATCTTCTCTGCCTTGTTGGCAACACCACCGATGATGTTCGCACCTTCGTAGGTCTTGTGTGGCGTGGTGAAGATGGACATGCCGTACTCTTTCTCCAGACCTTTCATGGCGGTGTAGACTTCGTCTGCGTTGAAAACACCAGCGCTCTGGAGCTGGGCGTACTCGCTGGGCTTCCTAGTCCCGAGTCCCCGGGGCGCAACCTTTCCACCCTTGAAGCGATCACCCTTGCCAATGGGTGCAGTCGCAGTCTGTCGCTTGTTCATGTTGTGTAGAAGCTCAACGCGAACGAGCTCAGGGTCCAGGCTTCGCTTGAAGTGGTCCAAATGGTCCTCTGAGATGACAGCGTGCAGCTTGTGCTCGCCCCCCGCAGCCATGACAACAGGACGGCAGCCATAGTCGATCTCGCTGTTGGCCGAGATGAAGTCGTAAAGCTGGTTCTTCTCTTTCGCGTAGAATGCGACGCTCAAGACATCGGATGCAAGAACAGCGCCGGGAAGCAGACCGAGGAGCGTGGAGACCTTCATGGCAGGCTGCGATAATAATGCTGCGACGAGTAGAAATTGAAAGTCGTGCAGACACAGACTGTCGCCATCCTGTTCTTATTTATTCAAGGTCGATGGCTTGGTACTATGTGTCGCGAGCCTCTTAGAGAAGAGCATTGCTGCCAGCTTCCTCATCCGGTAATGGGGAGGCGGTTCTCCAAGACTCCAAGACAGCAAGCGTACTTGGCTGGCGTACCTGCCCTACGATTCTAAGCAGGTCCGAACTGTTATCTTCTGCTATGGCCACACGAAATGTACCCTAACCCGGATGATGGCGCTGGTGGTGGGCCAACGAATGCGAAAATGCTCTAAAGGATCCAGACTCCTGGTCCATGGTGTCGAAGGCGTTGCCAAGACTGTTGAATGTGGGTTAGCAAGGCACCGGCGGTTGTTGTTACAGGATCGTGAGTGAGTTGCAGATAAGCATCGCCCCGAGGCTGTCAAAATCAAGCTCTGTGTTCCCCATAGCCGAGTGGATGTATAGTGTCTCTGGGGTGAGACATGTAGGAAGAGCTGGAGAATGCGCAGGGCTGCACTTGATACACGCTAGGATGGCGCGAAGAACGATTTACATGTTGTCGCATGGCGATATCCTGTCAGGCCGAGCGAGGATGTCTGTTGCATGTTGGCGACCACGAATTGAGATGTGCGATGGGTGAGGAGTTCGAGTGATGATTGTCTCCAGGACGCGTTCGCGCTTGTTGCCAAGACACTGCGCAGCTAACGCCTATCTCCGCGCCCAGATGTGTTCGTCATGTCCTTCATCGACTATCAAAAGCAAACATGAAACCGCCTTGATATACGATTGCGCCTGCGAGGCCACCAGAACTCGCGATGGATTACAGCCCTCTAACTCCAGAGGTCAACGTCCTGCTGTTGGGCGATTCGGAAGTCGGGAAGTCGACGTTCTTATCGTGAGTTCGGCGCGCGCGGTTCGCGTGACAGTTGATGTCGATTGACGTCTTGCTACCATTACTGACGTATTCGCAGTCGCCTGTCGCTCGGCGTACAGCCTCAGGGCGATGACCTTCCACCGTATGAGCTACCCAAGCTACGCGACATAGACCAGCCCTATGCCTTCGACATCTCGCTCTATGGCCGGCCGTACAGGCTGCAGTTCTTTGACACTGCGTCGCCTCAGAACTACACTCTCCTGCACCCGCAATTTGTGATCCTCTGCTACGACATCTCCTCGCGCGCATCCCTCGACTCTCTAGCCTCGACATGGTTGCCGATCGTGAACAAGCACTTCAACTACGACGAGAACCTGCCTGTGATGGTCCTAGGCTTGAAGCGAGACCTGAGGAAACAATGGACGTTAGCGGAGCATGGCCCGGATAAGAAGGGCAAGGGGCCGAGTGTCATGCCACACGAGGGTCTGCAGGCGGCGCAGAGGATGCTGTGCGACCACTATGCTGAGTGCAGCGCCGTGACAGGGGAGCTATGTAGGCAGGTGCTGGAAGACGTCGCAAAGACGAGTGCGAAGACCACGACTGAGAAGGGCGCCAAAAGCCAAGGGGCTGACATGTGTAGTATGATGTAGTTGGTAGATATATCGAGAGTATAATTGGAAGTAAGCGCGTCGAGCCATACACGTGCAAAAGGAAGATTCGATCAAGCATTACAGCATATCATAGAGGGCGCATTAGATCCTGCTGGCAGCAAAAACAGTGCATTCGGCTCGAATGAAATGGCAAAAAATTGGTTCATGCGACACCTGTGTGATTCGAACACACGCTCCCGAAGGAACTGGCTAACTTTCCTGTGAAGGACTAGCAGGCCAGCGCGTTAACCACTCCCTAGAATTTGGATTAGTAAGCGTTGAGTAGGCAGACTGAATCAAACGTACGCCAAAGTGCCTTCAATTTGCTTATTTGCTGATTGATGGAGGACTGGACAGTCTGAGCGTAAATATTAGGAGGTGGTGAGGCCAGCTTGCGCATGGCTGAGCGGGGAAGCGGGGTTCAGGTGGGGGCCGACAGCACAACTGGGGAGAGACGCATCCGACGGCACACCCAGTCTACATGCAGCGACTGCTTTAAGCGCTTTGCACACTCATGGACATAGAGATGTTTAGATGAGAATGCAAAAGACGGGTGAAAATTTATCTACTCTCACATCCATCAGAAGCGCACTAGTCCTCTAGGGGTTAAGAGCATTTCAGAAAACCAAAGTATTGGCCTTTGGTTAGACTCCAACTACAGACCGACAGCGCATTGCAGCTTCACAAGTGCTTCACCGATTTACTGGTGGTATAAGCCTTCGAATTGACTACGTTGAACCTCTGCTTGAAGACAGCAGATTACAAGTCTGGTCGAAGGTCGGAGAGGAAGCGGCTCAATCACACGGCCAACGCTCAACCATGAACTCTATCTTGGCCATTGCTCTCACTCAGCTATGCGCTGTTTCAAATTGCGATGTGACGACTGCTGCATCATTCGAGCTGTGACGACACTTCACCAGCCTCTGGCTCGCTTACATGCGGGCCAATCACACGCCACTCGTCCCTGCGTCCTGGAGCTGGCTCAGGCTCCGCCTCATCGTCACAACTCAACAACTCCTCGACGCTTGTCGTGCCCTTGTTCTCGTCGCTACGTATGTATACACGTCAAATTCCATCGGCGACGTGGCACCAGTCCAGCTGTTCAGGTCCATCTCGCCAAGTTGCCCTGTGAATACATCATGGGGCGGGCGCCCGAGTGCTGAGGCAGGCACTCTTCGTTCGCGTCCGCTCATCGACTTCCGTAGCCCTGGCCGCCTGAAAATGCAACGAGACGGAGGCTGACGTCCAGCCGACGAAAGCAACAAACCCCCTGAAACACCTCCGGGGCTTACCATGGAAACCACATCCAGGAGCAGACAATGTTATCCTTACACGCAGCATTCTTGGAGACGTCAGAGCCAGGTTGTCACGTTGAAGAAGAGCTGCACGTGGTGAAAAGACCTCAAGTTTGAGCAAAGTCGTGAAGGAACAGACATTCTTTTCTGCATTAAAGCGAAACACATCTCACGTATTGTCAACAACAACGTGGTAGCCAAACTATCCTTCCCACAAAACCGAAACGCCAACTCGAAGCCTCGAGACATCATAATGGTCCGTACACCATAACTCATCAGTCGGTCCGCCCAGGGATAAATGCACGCTAAAGAATACTTGACGAGAAAGAGGTTGAACGTATTAAACGATAACATGGGTATAGGGCGCATGCTCTTCGGACTCCTAGACCATGGCACGAAGTGAAATCAGGGCTGTCTTTTGCGCCGCGATCATGTACTTCGTCTTATGCGTTGATTTATTGGGATGGGCGCATTTACGAAGACGTGGGATTCGTCGGCGATGCGAGACTGCTTCTCCTCATATTCCAAGGAAGACATCTTTAGGTCATCGATTTGTGCCTATCAAGTCAGCCTTCATACGCCAAGTAATGATACGCTTGAGCTACCTTGGTCAGCGGTGGTCCGATGGTGGTGATCAGAAATCCGTCGCGTCCCTGTCGACACAATTAGCGTTCTGCTATACTCAACAACCACCATTGCAAAGTACCTGGAAGGTGTAGGGCCGAACAATCGCATCCGGGCCGCAATGATAGCGTATCTCGTTCTGAATAACGGCTCTTGAGATGCCAAAGCCTGGCACGAAGTACGAGTTGGGCACAGCCATGATGATGGTTTGGGATGGTCACGTCGGCAGGGTATTGCAATGTTGGCTGGACTCGATGTTCGCGGGCTGGGGATGATGGTAAGGTTGGGCGCGCTGGGGACTTATACATCTGACTCGCAGCCTTGCGACTGGGGAATCGGTTGCATACACTCTATCTACACCGGTTCCAGTCCGGATGAGGATGCGATGCATCGGCTGCAACCAAGTCCCCCGTTGGGCGTGGACGCGTCCGCCTCATTGTTCGCCTCGAAAGCCCAATCACCGCCATTGGGCAGCGACTAAGACCGGGTCTTGCAGCACCCTTTGCAATTGACCACTCACGGAATTCCCACTGCATTTTCTGGTATATCTCTTACTCTTGGAGGACTATTGCGGTTTCGTTATGCTTCGCACCTCGGCGCTAATTGCTGGAGCGGCCAACGCAGCTGCCACGTCTGCAGATGGATGGTCTCTCGCGACAACTACGGATGCTTAAAGACGATCTCTTCGCCACCAAACGTTCCAAAGGAGTTTGCGATATGTGATACTCCCACACCCTCTTGCAGTTCCAAGCCAGCGGGCTCAACCTGTTCTTCCAGATGCGATGAACTTGGCGCCAAAGGTTTCTAGCGGAGAAACCTCGACGCCGATCATACCCCGGCTCAACTTCCACGATGGGTGACACCCAGTCGCCCCACGGTAATCGCACAGCAGAAGGAAAACAGTGTCGCGGTGTCTAAATTCGGCCAGCGTGGCTTCACCGCTAGATCTGTTAAGCGAAGGCGCAATCGCATCCAGGAGATCCCTTCCGCACGCGCTGCTATGGGTATGAATGCATCCAGCTCCGGGGATGTTCCAGGTTTCGAATATCCCAAGAGCCGAGCCGAGACCCTATAGTATCCACCATCATGTACCTTGGTTGACGCAACAACGGCACCCAAGCACTTGGGCTCCTTCCACAGCAGACGGACTAAGTGCCAACACCATCTGGCGACTCCATCTCACTGTGAGGCGAGCCTGGTTTACCCCGCTTGTCATTGATGATCTACTTCGACACTACCGGGAAAGGTGATAGATTACGGCATGTGGTGCCAATGGCAAGAAGAGAGTGTTCAGCAACACCTCTTGCTATCGCTTCGATTGTGAAGCTGTTCGTCTGAGGTGTTCATGCGTTCTGTTCCCTTCGGCATAGATCATCTCTTGCGGCCAACAAATCTCAACGGAACGCGCATCATTGCTCGAAGATACAGGATCACCACCGGAGTTGCATCCTAACGGCGGTCTCGGCTCTTGCAATGGCCGCATGAGTCGTGTACACGTGTGCGACTTCACGAACATGTGCCCAATGCCCAACGTCCGAGCGTTTAGGTTCCATCACAACAAGCATTCCATCGACGTAGCCAGCATGCTGTACCTACAGCACCTTATGCACCGGACTACCCCGCAGAATCAATCATGCAGTCGCCTCCTACGCCACCTCACCTTGCATCCGGTGTCAAGGTCTCACCGAAATTGTCGCCTTACGTCATGATGTCACGGATGAGACGACACGACGCAGTGGATGTTGTGAGGCATTATGAGTTTGGAGGGAGAACCTGGTGGCGGCCATTTCGCGGGCTACGAGGAACCCCGGGCACATCGAATGCGTGATCACGCCATATTCAGTCGGCGGTTCCTACTTACCGGCCTTACTGGAAGACAGCGGAAGATGGCGCAACCCGAGGTACTCCGCAACTAACGCAAGACCAGAGAGCGTACCTACCGTGACTATACAGTAGCAATGCAGGGGATCTGAGCGGCTTGGAAGTAATGCACCTAGTGTTGACGAGAAAGCGCATTTCAGGGACGGATGATCGTAGGTAGGATCTGACAAGCAAGGTACGGCTACCACTTCCGGCAGAGAGCAACTCTTTCAAAAACGACTGTTCGTTAAAGCGGCCGAAATCATAAGCCCGAGAAGTCGCCCCGCTGCCACTCTGCTCTATCATACGACTGCTCTCCGATCTCGTATAGCTTTTGACATGTATAAGGCCTTGTTCACCGGACATTGACAAGGCTCAGCCCGGTTGTGATCATTCGGGGCGACAATCTCGACAACATCGTGTCCCTAGGGTCAGCTAGCAATTCGGCAGACGTGTCCTGACAAAATTCACGACTGTCACAGGGCTGTCACTTTGCAGAGCAATGGCTCTTCGAATGGGCAACGACGACGGACGACTGGCACACTGGAGATGGGAGGGTATCAGGCAATGCGTTCTGTGACGTCTTCCATGCCTATGGAGTCTAGCACACCCTGATTGAGACCCGATAGGCGATGCGCCCAAAGGAAGATACCGTCCAAACCCCCACTCGCCACAGACTAGTAAGCTGCCTTCAGCCCTTGTCTGCCCTGTTCGAAGAGTAGAACCGGAGCATGGGTCAGCGGGACTACGTGTGAGACAATTGGCATGAATTCTGCTAACGATTACTATATGTGGCCACTCAGATACTTCCACAGGGAAATCCCTTCTACAGATTGCTGTTCTGTGTCAGTTACTCGCGTCAGCTTCATTCCATGGTCCCACGCCACCACCATCACACCGCGACCGAGCCCACAACGGCAAAATCCTGTGAACAGCACACGCTTCATCCGGTGGTTGGATACGATGGCTCTCTCATTGACGGACAAAGATCGAGCGCAATAAGCGCAAGGCTTCACGCTCTTAGCAGTGGAGGCGGAACACAGCCGAACGAACTGACGAGAAACACTATTTGCCCTTGCTTGATCGCAATCCGTACCTGCGGCCTGCAACATCTTCAGCAAAGTGCAATCACAAATTCGCCACGAGCGGCATTCCGAGCACGAACCGTGGATCTCGCGTGCCACGTCAACCGTCCTTGTCAATGCGCGTTCGCCGTTGTTGATCGCGGCAAAATGCATGCAGCGCATCATATGCAGGTCTTGCTAAGACCCAGTACCTGCTCTAGTCTTACCAACTTCTTCCACAAACGCCCCTTCACAAATGGTTCTGTGAAAAAGTGAGGCTTCGTAATTTCCGAAGTCGTAACCCTGTTTGCCGATCCGATTACGCCCTAAGCCGGGACGGCCACCACGATGTACTCCTGCCGACTGCGCGGCGTTCGGTAACACCAGTCGACACGGCATGCGTGAATGACATGAGTGAATGAGATTTTTGGAAGCAAGGCGACCAATAGAAGTTGTGGTAGAAGCTCGTGCGATTCAAGTGCCGATCCTTTGAGTTGGCGAAGCGGCCCACTTCCTCCCTTGGACTTTGCTTATTGCGGAGCCGGAGTCGTGAGCCTCACGAATGTCTTGACAGTTGGCTGGAAGCCCTCCTCTGCTCCACCCCTCGAAGGATCTCGTTTTGTTCTGTATTGTCATCGATTCCAAGAAAGAGGACGCACATGGACAGTCTGCTTCAACTTGGATGCTGACAAGGTCCAGCTGCATCTAGAATACTGAACGCCATGCGTCAACACTCGCCGATCTAGTCTTAAATCTTTACTACATTGTCTTCGTGTCCAGGAAAAGCTCAGACGAAAGAATACGTCCTATCAACGTTTGCCGCATACGGTCGCACTCGAGCACTCGACAAATACGTTCCGATAACCCAAAGACTGGACTGTGCAATACTATCAGACTCTTCCTAGGTACACGTACCACGATACCGATATAACGCAGGTGTCCTCAGCATGACCTTCGAGGTCACAGCTGTAACGCCTGAACGCCCCCGAACCTAGCCAGACTGCTACGACGTACTCTCCGCAAGCCCGACAACCACGCGTTGTCTATCCTATCACCTCATACACGAAAAAACCTGAACAGGCCTGCGGACTACATCAAGACAAGAACCTGCAAAGTAGGTGACCTGACGTCAACGTAGGCTCCACGGTGTTCAGCTTTTTCCTAGATTGGCGCGGTGGTTCAAAATACTTTTGATCATCCACAGGTAACATAGAGCTGCCGGTACATCATGCAAATAGCTACAGCGCGTTACCAAAACCACAATGGTGATACGTATTGTTCCTGCCCAGTTGGGCTGTGATCGTTGGGGAGTTTCTTGGTAATTACACATTAATGGATTGCTAGCTGAGCAAGCCCGGGGTATCATCGTACAAGAAGAACGCCAATAGATCCGATGCAATGCCTCCTCTACGATCGCGTCCCTCCCAACCCTGGTCCAAATGGAAACGAATCAAACGTACTTACCTTCTAACAGTAGCTCCCGTTGCGACTTCTTGGGCGTTGCTGAAAGAGGTAACTTCTGTCGCATATTCGTGCTCCGGTCGCTGAGCACAGATGTGCTTGACGAGCGCGAGTTCTTCGACCTGGAAGACTGCGGCGACACGAAGTGCTGATTCGCAGGTTCATCGCGGAACACAGGCGTGCGCCGACCGATCGTCTCTGGGCTATCGGTGTCGCGCGGATGAGCCTGCGTGATGGTCTCTGCCCTGTCATCGCGCAGGGCCTCCGCCTCAGTGACCAGTGTCCCACCAACTTCTTGATCCTGCTGACCGCGCGCGACTTCCGCCTCAATGGACAGAGCCCCGTCGCGTAAAAATCCCCCATCAGCGCTCACCATCCCACCTCTGACAACCTCCCCCTCAGCATCCAGCATCCCACCCGCAGCAACCCACTTCCTCAAATGATCCTCCCGCAACCTCTCCCCAAACCCCGTCCAACGCACCCCAACCCTCATCGGAATCCTGCCCGCCCTCTCCAAAGCATCATACCAATCTCTATGCTCCGTCCAAACCAACCTCCTTGAGCACTTACTCGTCGTCGGCGATCTCCCTATATCAGCGACATGCTCAAACAGCATTCCCCCGGTCGCCGTCGGCGTGTCGATATCGAGGTTATCCAAAATACCAGCCTTGATATCGCGATCAAAACACAGCCACTCTACCACATTATCCCCCGTCCGGAAACCCAGCGCCGAGCCACCGAGCTGGAAGACATCAGCCAGGTAGCCGACTTCGAGACACCCCGGTGGGATTTCATCGCCAGCCGGAACGGGTTTCTTGCCGAACGGGTCGTCGGATCGGAGTGCGCAGACGAAGCCGTGCGCTGGCCGGTTTAGAAGTGAACGCAGTTTGGGGACTGAGATGAAGGAGGCGCGGTAGTGGTATATGACTACATCATTCTTTGCGAACCGGAAGTATTGCGCTTGTTTTAGCTTGTTGCCGTTGGGTCCGGGGATGGGTTTCGGGCCGTATACGCGTGGTTTCTTGGGCGTTATGGGTCGGGTTTGCTTGACTAGCTTGGGTTTGGATGGTCGGGGGTGCTTGTTTGGAGTGCCTTTAGGGCGGGTCATATCTTTTTCGTTCTTTTTCGTTTGGACTTTGCGGTGGTCTTTGGGCGGTCAGGGAGCGCGAATAAGAGGGGAGGAGAGAGGGAATTTGATTGCTGGAGAGGGTCACATGTTTTGGTCATGGAGTGTTGTAGCAATGGGGATAGTGTGCACGGGGATTTAGGCTACTGCCGCTAGAGAAGTGCTAGATTCAGGGTCTGGTTCACCGTGAAAGTGAAAAGAGAGAAGAGGAGCGCGGAGGCTAGGTGGGCGGGAGAGGAACCGCGCAGTTTTCCTTGGGCTAGCTCCCGTGATCGGGAGAGAACTAGGGCGTGAGGTCTGACAGTTGGGGCGGCTCTCTGTTACTGCTTGTCTTTAGGTAATGCGGAGTGGACATGCTGATGTTATAGAGCTTTGATCAGCTTTGGTATGTCGTGATGCGGTGGACGCGGTGTGTATCGCGCCTACAAACGCGTCGCTGTAGCTCTCACACTACATCAAGATGTGGACCTTGCTTAGACTGATGAAGCGCGCTCAGATGGATTGATAAAAGCGTTGAAAGCGAGGAGTTGAACAGTTCGTAGTAGTCGTCAAGCTCCTGCGTTATTGTGAAGACATGATATTGACCAGATACAAGCTAGTGTATAACATTTCCAACTCTTGCCCATGGTCTTCTGCACTTGCCAGATCTCGCAGATTTGAAAGGTTGAGAGCCACATCCTGGCAGTGGACGACGCAGTCTCTTCGTTGAACTCGATGTAGGAGTCTGGCTAGAGCCGCAGGTTCTTCTTGCTAGTGAAAGCAGCGTTGTCGCGTTTGTAAGTAACCCTTTCAACCTCGGGGGCGTGTAGTACTGTCTCATAGCTGATTTCTTGGTTGTGAGATGAAGAAAGCGACCAAGTGATCAAAGCTTTCCCGCTGGTTGTGAAAGTAGAGAGTGTTCATGGCGGGAGTGGGCCATTGCACGTTCAGCGCGACAGAAGCGGATAAGTCGGGGAAAGACCGCCTCGTTATCTACGCCCCAGCTCCCTCACTTTACCTCCAGTGAAGGAACTAGTAGGCGCTGCCGAGCACTGACCTATGCTCATTGAGTGCACCAAATCTATACGTCTCTCACTTCTCAACCGTCGTTTCTTGTTTCCGCTATCCCATTGACTATTCCAAAACATGCGGATCTCGGGGCTCCTCGGGTTAGCAACCCTCATCGTTGCTGTCGCAGGCGAGGTTTGTCAAAGGTAGGTATCGTGCCTCTAGTCGAGTTGTTGTTCTGGTTACGTCCTTCTATCAAGTACCACATCTGTTTGATTACATGTCGCTGTAGTTGACTCAGACTCTAGTTGCCCAAGCAACGACCTTCTCGCTGTCAATTTTACGATCCCGGGTGGACTTGATAAGATCCTTGTTGCCGGTGACCCCGACGATTCGGATGACTGGGACGACTCGGATTCACCATCAGACGTAACAGTGACTCCAGCGCCCGACGCGTATTACGAGCATTGCAAGCAAAAAGGATGCGCCCTGGAATGGTCGATGCAGCACTCCAATAGCGAGGCCGGCGCTCAATTTGCACCTCCCCGCATGACCGCACAATCTCCCTTTCAAACTCCTCAAGACCTCCGAGACTGGGGATGGCATGACGGTGTCAAGATATCGCAAGCTTACGATGACCTCAGCAGCTTCTGGTGGGGAGCTGATGTGGCACTGAAGGGTCTTCAGCTTCCTTGGAAGACAGATGCCCAAGAGGGTCCCAATCGTCTCACCATTATAGTGCACCAAGACCCCACTGCAGATATCAGTGTTGATAAGCAAACTTACAAGGTCGACGGAAAAGAATACCGGGCTTCGGACGCTGATTACACTATGACTATGAATCTGCAAGATGGTGTTATCATTGCCATAAGTCGCAAAGGCCCAGATACGGCAGGCAAGGAGCGAGAGCCGCCGCTGAAACCAGAAGACATGCCAAAACTCCACCAGTTCTCCGATGTTGGCTGGATAAAATGGAAGGCCATGGCCGAGGCGAATAATCTTCCTGTTAACAATCTTCGGTATTTCTTATCGCTTGGGATCGCGAACACACAGACGTTATCAGTGTGCGAGAAGATTTTCAGGGATAATAACCTAGCAATGAAGAGGTGGCCTGGAGACGTTTTCCTAGCCGGCACATGGCAGTTCCGTGCTATCTTGGGTAAGTTGCACCCATCTTAGAGGGGTTCAGGTATCTCGTAGCGTAATCGGGGCTGTGTCGTCTTCATTGCAGCAGAGCATAACCCCAAGGCTCGCTTGAGACCACCGTCTTATCCTGGAGGAGTATCTCGGCTAACTCATGGTCAGGAACCCCGAACGTACAAGGCTTCGGGTACATGCTGGTTCAACACAAGGCAGATCTGGGCAACATGTTCATCAGTAAAATCCATGTTTTCCTGTGTGAAAGCAACGATGTTTGTATTGTCGCATTTGTGTCCCAACCAGTGGCCGCTCCAGTGCAAGATGCAATGGTCGGATCAATAGTCATCTCGGATCAGGTCGACAGACGCGACGAAGGAAGTAACGTCATGCGTCTCCACAAGATCTTCGCGAAGCTGTGAGAGCTAGGGAGAGCGAGTCGGAATATATGGGAGGGTTGAGGATAATTAGACCTTTGGCTGGTAGACAGACGCGATTACCGGTCTTAGATCTGGATGGTCTTCGCTGCTTTGAAGGAGTGTATGGAGCTGGAGGCCTCCGCGATCTTCTTAGACTGGGGATCATATCGCTGCCCGGCTAACCAAATAACATCGACGATTGTCACATTCAATTCCATCTCTTTTGCGGTGTCGGAGTGCTCGATCCAGTCAGGCAGCTCGATCAACGCCACGCCTTGTAGCAAAAGTAAATCTGCTCAGCCGGCCAATGACAGAAGTCGTGGGCGCGTCGAGTCGGAGCGGATCCGGCAGCCGCGACGCGCGCGTGTTGTTTTGAGGGGATCCGAATGCAGGGAAGGAACTTACATATACCACCTCATGCCCCATACTGCGTCGGTCCTGAACTTGCACCGCTCAACCGCAAACACTCGCCGCCGATCAAGTGTCATTGCAGAAGCCATGTCGTGCCATGACCACGCCAATACGTCAAGCGCGGGCTCGCGTCATATGACAGGCGTGCCCCGCGTTGTAGGATGAGAGCCCGCGCATGACATCCCACGAAGGAATATCTGCCGCCCGTTCGAGCAATCAATTCACGCTTACACAATGCGCCTGTGGGGTATTAGCCGTTCCACCGAGCGACGAGCTGCTCGCTGGTCTGGGCCATGTTCAGCATTCCAAGATTAAAGAGAGAGAAATTCCTCGGCTTTCGTTACCCCGCTAGCGACTCCGTCGACTAGAGGCTGCCGTCTGCCCTATCAGCCGAGTATCTTCGCCGCATTGCGCAATCGGGACCGCGGCCGGTAGCGAAGAAACTCCCTCTGGACTCCCTTAGATTCGTCTTTCCGAGGTTATACCACACCACCCATTCGCCATGAGGCCTGCGACTACTGCGCCTGCCGCTTTCCGCGCTGCGACGTCCATCGCACGACTCCCCCGCCCAAAGACGTGCTCCTTTGCGACGCGCTGCCTAGCTTCCCAGACTGCTGCGAGATCGGCCCAGTTTTCGAGCCCGCGACGAACATCCGCAAACAGCGCCCCAACACCAGCACCCAGCCTATACACGCAGATTGGACAGTACAGGATGGCGTCCTCGCAGGGAATCAAGAAGATCCAGGTCAAGAACCCCGTGGTGGAGCTCGACGGCGATGAGATGACCAGGATCATCTGGCAGGTCATCAAGGACAAGTTCATCCACCCATACCTCGACATCGACCTCAAGTACTACGACCTGGGTCTGCCCTACCGTGATGAGACCAACGATCAGGTGACGCTCGACGCCGCCGAGGCTATCAAGAAGTACTCTGTCGGTGTCAAGTGCGCGACCATCACCCCCGATGAGCAGCGCGTCGAGGAGTTCAAGCTCAAGAAGATGTGGCTGTCGCCAAACGGCACCATCCGCAACCACCTGTATGGCGCACATTGGAATAAAGGGGAGGACATGACTGACAACACATTCTAGAGGAGGAACCGTTTTCCGCGCGCCCATCGTCATTCCCACCATTCCCCGTCTCGTACCCGGCTGGAAGCAGCCCATCATCATCGGCCGTCACGCTTTCGGCGACCAGTATCGTGCGAAGGACCGCGTGATCCCCGGCGAGGGCACACTCGAGATGGTCTTCACACCCAAGGGCGGCAAGCCTGAGGTCATCAAGGTCTACGACTTCCCAGCGGAGGGCGGTGTCGCGCAAACGCAGTACAACACCACCGAATCCATCTCCGGCTTCGCACACGCCTCCTTCAAGATGGCGCTGGACAAGAAGCTGCCGCTGTACATGAGCACCAAGAACACCATTCTCAAGGCATACGACGGCAAGTTCAAGGATGTCTTCCAGGCCATCTACGACAGCCAATACAAGAAGGAGTTCGAGGCTGCCAAGATCTGGTACGAGCACCGCCTGATTGACGACATGGTCGCCCAAATGATCAAGAGCGAGGGCGGCTACATCATTGCCATGAAGAGTGCGTATCCATCCTACTACCATTGCGACTTCGCTAACATTCCCAGACTATGACGGAGACGTCCAATCCGATATCGTCGCCCAAGGCTTCGGCTCCCTCGGCCTCATGACCTCGACCCTCATCACCCCTGACGGCAAGACCTTCGAGGCCGAAGCCGCGCACGGTACCGTCACCCGCCATTTCCGCGAACACCAAAAGGGCAACGAGACCTCCACCAACCCCATCGCCTCCATCTACGCCTGGACACAAGGTCTGGCCAAGCGTGGTGAGCTGGACAACACACCTGAGCTCGTTGTTTTCGCCGAGCAGCTCGAGAAGGCTTGCGTGGACACTGTGGATATCGACAAGATCATGACTAAGGATCTGGCCCTTGCGTGTGGAAAGAAGGACCGGGCGTCTTGGGTCACCACCAATGAATATCTTGATGCCGTCGAGAGGAGATTAAAGTCGAGCTTGAAGGAGAAGCTATAGATGTACAGAAGTGTTGAATAGTCGCGTGGGATATTCCTTGCATCGGATCACTCGGTAACAGCGTGATACCTAGACCTGACCATGTAGACGGAGTTCTGCTTACTCTTGGGCAGGAATCGATTGTTCACAAATTCAATTGCGCCTGTGCATGTCTTCCTTTGCCAGTGAGGCGCGAGAGCGCGAGGCATCTTTTTTTGGCAGGGAGCTCGTGCCATGTCGTCTCCACATGTTCCCGGAGCACGTTGCTTTTGATGAACTGGGTTTACGCTAATTTCCGATGAGACCCAAATCCTCAAAAAGAAACCAGTCTCTTGCATGTCTCACGGCAGTATGCATATGCGGGACGATCTGATGTTTGTTTGTTACACTGCTGATTGCAAAACATTTGTCGCGACTATCTTGTTGAATTTTCAAGGATTGCATACTTTGCATTCCGTTTAGCAGCTCTGTGTTGGGCCCTCTTGATCTCCTCGACAGTTGCTGGCCGTCTCATCCTAGACGGGATCACATGATGGAGGCGTTCACTGATGCTGCTCCCGGGACTAACCCGACTAAAGCCGCTAGGACCTACAGTGCGAGCCCGACCACCACGCCAGCCTCTGTACCAAATGACAGCGCAGGATCTACAGCCACCATTACCACAACGTTTCCGTCGCCTAAAAAGCACGGCAGTCCCTCGACTCCCGACTCTACTCCATTGCACCGACGCTTTCTGCGAGCAGTCTCGATGCCGCCTGCGACACCGTCGCGTCCGCCCATGGAGAGCCAGAAATCTTTCGAGAAGGCGCGCGACAGCCCAGTCGTAGTTCGCCATACCCCCAAGAGGACACAACCATCGCCGATGAAGCTCGAAGTTGGCCAGGGCGCGTTCTACTTCTCAATTGAACTGCCCCCCAACAAGATCACGCCAAAGAAGAGCGGAACGACAAGCAAGAGCCAGACGCCGAAGGGAGAAGACACGCCCACGAGGACGAGGACGCCTAGCCCGTTGAAGAAGGCGAGTCCGACGAAAGAGAATGCAGTGAGTACACCCACGAGGGCGACGCGCAGCCCAATCAAGCGTGATGAGACGACCAAGCAGAGCCCTGCGAGGCCGTTGTTTGGTACGCCGACGCGGGCGAGGCTGCACAGGCAAGATACGGATCCACGAACTCCTGTTCGGACAACGCCCAGCCCGCGAAAGAATCACAGCGCAGTGAAGCAGAGTCCTGCCAAGATGACTACTGTCACTCCGAAGAGAAGTGGCTTGCTCAAGACACCTGGAAGTAATCGACCTGGAAGTCCCATAAAGCGCTCGATTGAACAAGACGACTCACCGGTAGATCCGCTCAAGACATCTGCACGCCTCGCGAGAGAACTCCTATCAGGGCCAGAGGAGACACTCCGAATGCCACCCGAACGTCTTGTGGACCTGAAGGACGAGCACGCTCCAGCAAACTTGGTCGCGACTGCCACCGACCCGACCCCGCATCATGAATCCACGAGGCAGGCGCCACCAGCGAACAAGTGCCCAGAAAACATCGGACACCTCATGGCAAGCCTTATCAGCAACACTACTAGCACGCGTGACTGGTCAACCGCCTACACCCACGACATGGTCTCTCCTATACCGACACCCCTACGCAAAGCCTCGGAGAAGCTCAAGCTGGGAGAATCGCCTTCTTTCCTGCGGATGTCGGCCAATGGTACGGCCACGATGACCAATACAGACCCTCCTACCCATGTCAGCGAGACAAAGTCTTTGATTCTACATGAGCCTGCATCAGTCGACCCGGGACAGGATAAGAGTAACCAGATTGAGTCGTCGTCGTCTGGATCAACCGAGGCGGCTTTTCCCTCTTCCATTACCACAGATCATACTGCAGACGTGTCAAGCGAACCGCGACCTGCACTGCCGTTACGTGCAGCCAGTCTGGGGTCTTTCAAAACCCTGAACACGACACGCGAGGCACCAGCCCCACCACACCGCCCGCTTCTCTTCCCAAAGCGAAGGTCGGAGACCCTTCAGAAATCGCCGTCGCAGCAAGAACACCAGGTCAGGTGGCAAAATATGGAGACGGCTTCTTTGGAGCCCCTACCTGCAAGCCACCAGAGGCGAGTGGGGACTGATCCAAGCGTACTTTTGAAGATGCAAAAGGACATGGCCAATCTGGAAGCGACGATGCGCCGCTCGTCAGGCGTTGTCGACCCAGCGTTTTGCGGCCCGCTCAATCTGAACGAGCTCCCTGCAATGTCGAATGACTACTTCGTTAGAGGCCAGCAAGATATCAGAAGCCCAGGTGTTGTTGGTACACCAAAAACCCTCAGTAGAGCCAACTCCGACAACCCATCGATTGCGACCGTACAAGCGAATGGAGTAAGAGGTACTAGCAACTCACTAGCACCGTTGAAGGTCTCCGGCACGCCAGGTATACCACGATTGAAATCTAGTGCTCCTACCTCAGCACAAGCAACGAGAGACCGTCTTCTTGCAGCTAAGAAGGAGAACACTCAGCGTACGGGTGCGACTAAGACTGCGGTTCCCGAAAGATCCCGCCCTCGATCAAAGACCACAGTGTCAGCAACAAGCAAGTCGGGTGCGGTCACTAGCACACCTCGCAAGACCCCAGCGACTCCGGCCAAACCCGTGGCACCTCCAAGCACAACAACACTCAGCTCTCCACACAGCCGCATACCATCAATGAACGCCGCCAAGCCCAGGATGCGAACACAGTCTGTCCCTCAAGCTGGATCGAAGCCGCCTGCCAGTACCTCGGGTCATACTAAGGCCGTCGCAGCATTGAAAGAGCGTCTACCAAACGTACCAACTGCTCCGGTCAACACCAGACCTGTTCCGATCCGGAAACCTGTGGTCCCCTCCACTACAGCCACTCAAGCTCCTTCGGCGGGTCCGCGACCGTATGAACAAGAGTTCGCTAGCGCGGGGGACATTGCTGATCGACTCGCTGATTGGCACGACGAGGATCGGAAGAAGGCACAGATGAATCGTCCGACGGTCGCAGCTAAGAACACGCCAGCGACGATACAGGCAGGAAGCCCGGCGGACGAGTCTACTACACCAGACGGTTCACCCGCGAAGATCCTCACCCCCATCAAGGTACCTGCATCAACTAGGACTTCAAGAGTTCTCCCTCCTGCCAAAGATGTCAAGCCAAGACCGCTCTCCAACAAGCCAAGTGCCCCATCAACGCCCAGATCTAAGCCCAGCGCGCCGGCTCCCAAAACGCCAGTCCCAAAGACTCCAGCTCCACCGCCTCGAAACGCCGCTGTCGTCAACAACAACCTCAGACAGCCCATAACCGCGGCCAAGACCCCAGTAAACCGCCGCATACCCGTTGTTGACCGCAACGCGACGCGTACACCAAGTAAAGCCATCGTGAGTAGTCTGGATCAAGCGATCGATAGGAAGATTGCAGAGGATGCGAGACGTGGGATGGAGTTTACGCCTGGTGGGAATCGATTGAGAGATTTGTTGGACGCGAAGTCTTTGAACGGGGGTGTTGTGCAGGTTTTGGAGGAAGAGGAGGAGGTGTAAGGATCTGTAGGGTCGCTGCAAGGGCGATCAGGATGGTTGGTGGGGGTTAGGGGCGCTATCTCGGTCTTCTGTCTTTCTTTTGTTAAGTTCTGGTGATGTGTGTGGCGTTTATATTGTAAGGTCTGGGATGGGATCTGAGGAATAGGAGGTGTCACAAGGAAAATTCTGTAGATGGGTAGAAAGTTAATGTACGACAGCTATTGGAATTCTGCATCGACCACGTTCATCCGTCTTACACTTCTTCTTCCCTGCTACGCGCATGGTAGGTCCCGGTAACCAACCAACCTTGATCAGTCACCCGTTATCATCATCACATATCTAAGCAGCGCCCGTGACAATCTAGTTCTTCTTTTCTACAAAGCCAACTCGCCACACCACCCAAAACTACTCCGCCTTCACATCACCAGCACTAACCAACTCCCCACTCTCATCTCTCTCCCATTCGCACACCCCCAGCCCGGTGCCCTTACAAGGAATGCAAGCAGATCCATCACCCAAGCTACGACAGTCGTCCACGCCCAACCCCCTACTCCGACACCGCTTACAAACAACCAGCTTCTTCCCCTTCTTGAGCTCATCCCTCCAATTCTCATCATCCATAATGCGGTAGTTGATGCCGTTGAAGCGCCAGAAGTCGTCGCTGGTGTACATCAATTCCTCGACGGGCAGCTCCTCGCCCTGCATATACGGTGGGATGAAAGACTTCCCCGACGGAAACATTTCCCGCGAAACGAGGAAGTGGGCGTTTGTGCTGTATGACTTGAGCATGGTGGCGATCTTGTAGGTAGCCGCGCGGTCGAAGAAGAGGGCGCTGAGGAGGTGAGCTTGCTCTGTTGCGTCGACGATTTCGAAGAGGCGGAAGAAGGAGTGGTCGGAGAATTTGAGGTGCAGAACGAAGTCGTCTGCTAGTGTTCTTGGGAGACAGACGTCTACGAGCGAGGTGAGGGAGCGGAAGGCGATGTCGGATAGCGAGCGCAGGTCATGGCCTGAGTTGATGGAGATGGCAGAGTCGAGCATCTTTAGCGACTTGAGGGATGGCGGGAAGCCGCTTTGTCGTAGGTAGTAGTAGAGGTGTGATTCAAAACCTAGCTCGAGGTATTCTAGCTCGACGAGAGAGCGGAGCTTTTCGGCGCCTTCGGGGTCGGTGTCGCGCGAGGTGAGATAGCCAACATGACCACCGCAATGCGTCAAGCGCTGCAATGAATGTGCTTGCTTCTGTAGCGCGACTAGGAATCGAGATGAGGATGTGCGTTGTTCAGGATCCATGGATGGTTGGCATTCCTGGAACACGTGCAATCGCTCTCCTATCGACAACTCCTTTAGAGCTTTGGGCAGGCTCAGGACATTGTCTAGGAACGGAACACTGACGTTACATTCGATAAGCGTCAGAGACTGAAGGGATGTTGTCTTCTTCTCTGATTCGGAGATCTGGAGATCTCCGTCAAAGTTCAAACACGACAACTTG